CAATTTGTACAATAGTGGTCCTGAGGGGACGTACATTCTTAGCTTACAAAGATAACAGAATTAAGAGACTGAAGTAAAGACAGGCATAAGAAATTATAAGAGTATTATTTGGGAACTGAAAAATGTCTATGAAATCTTCACAATTTATGTTCATAGGTTAAAGTAAAGACAGGCTTAAGAAATTATAAAAGTATTAATTTTGGGAACCAATAAATGTCCATGAAATCTTCACATTTTTTGTTCCTCTGCCGTGGCTCCAGCCGGTCTCTCCGTTTGGGGTCCCTGACTTCCCACAACACATCTTTTTCTTTACTTAAAAACAACTTGTTAGGGAAACCTATGGGTTGCTACTAAAAGTTTTAGGGGCATTTAAATGAGTTTTATTTCCTTACTATTTTATTTTAACTTGTAGATCTTGGTGAAGAAGAGCCAAAATGAATAGAATCTTGAGCCTTACTTATACAAATTCCACTTAGAAAAAAAAGGGTACATATTTTTTCCATTACCATAAATTTGTTTTAGACTCTGTATATAGACATAAAAGGTTTTTTTAACTCAAGAGGACATTTGCCTTTCTAAAATGCTACGTTGGTTATGTCCTTCTTGAAAGGCTTCCCTTGACAAGTTATAACCTAAACTTGTTTCAGGCACCCTTGACCCTAATCTGTCTTTCCAGCTTTTCTCCTGTGTTCTTTCCAGTCATACCCTGCAATCCAGAAATACTAGGTTGTGTGAGATTCTTAGGTCTGCCATGTTTCACACTTGTCTTCACCTGGCTTCATGGCTCTGCAAATGCTAATTCCTCTACCTGCCTTTCCCTCGTGTGCCAGCAAGAGGAATTGCTGTTCTTCTAAGTGCTGCTCTCTCTTAGGACCTACTTTGTTGACCATCCTAATTCAGTGGCTTCTTATCTGGTGCACTAATGCCTTCTGTGCTGTGGTCTCATCCCACTGTATTGTGGCTGTATTCTTCTTGGACTTTTCCTTATCAACTGTGAACACCTTAAGGATGGATTTGGATTCATCTTTGATTATTGCTCAACAACGACTTGGTAACTGACAGGTTATTCCCAAAAAGGTTGCTACAATGCTTGCCTGTTTTCATTAGAAAATAGAACCAAACTTAAAACATGGACAGTGGAGATGAATTATTTGTCCAGAATTCTATAATGCAATGACACAGTTTTGTGTTTACTTTTGTCTTTTCCATTTTTTCTCTGCATTTTTGCTTAGTTGTGAACATAATATGTATCTTCAATATCATACTTTTAAAAATCATAGTGTAAGTACTTTCTTTGCTGCTGCCTAATCTTCATAGTTCTCATCTTTAATGATTCTTTTAAATTTTACCAAGTGGATAATTTACATATGCATTTCTTTACCAGTGGATATTTATTTTTCCTCCTAATTTTTAATACTTATTACTGTAATAATTATATATTGGATACATTTAGAAATTAAGAATGCCAGAGTACAGAGGAAAGAGCCACTGATTTGAATTCAGAAGATCTTGGTGCCAGCTTTGCTCCATGTCCTTTGTGTGTCTTTGGACCTTGACTGCTCTGAACACGTCTTCATCTATAGTGAGGGATGTCTGTGGCATATGATTCTTGTAAAGATCAAATAAAATCCAACAATGGGAAGTAAAGTAGATTTGTAGGATCCTTAATGTGAGCTAACCACTGAAATTTTGCTATCTTATTTCATTGAATCTTGGGAGCAGCCTTATAAAATCAGCTGGAAGAGACTGAATAACTTGCTTTAAGACATGCATGTAAGGGCTGAGATCCAAACCAAGGAATGTTCAGAGAAGAAACACACTTAGGAAAAGATGCACATATTGAGATATTCAGAATATGTTTATTATTGATCAATATTTCATAAAACTGCTTAAATCTCTGATAAAGAATAGTGAATCTAGTTGTCAAAGTCTGACTTCAAGATATGATCTTGGTATGAGACAGGCAAAAAGAATTAGTGATGTAACAGGGGAAATAACCAACATCCTATGTGAAGGTGAATGGAGGGGCATCAATGAAAGTAGACCTTTATAGAGAATTGGGCTTGATGACATCTCAAAGTTATGGCAATTCAAAGAAGATACAGAGTTACAGAGCTGGAAGGAAAGAGGGAGAAGTTAGTGGTTCATTTTGCAGAGTGAGGATGAATTGTAATGAGATGTAACCCGGGGCTTAGCCAGGAGATGTTTGTAATCTTTTAGACAAATAGAAAAGGAAGCTGTCACATTGTGGAAGCCAAATTGACAAGATTTGTTGTCATTTTCCTTCTAAAATACATATCAGATAATGCCAGTATTGTATAGGGTTAGTACATTTATTGTGGTATCTGTCTCCTGGGTTTGAAACCCTAGCTTTGTGACCTTGAACAAAGTTACTTAACCTTCCTAAGTTTCATTTTATTTCTGTAAAAGGGAGAGAGTAATAGTAGCATTCATTCCATAGATTCAATGTGAGAATTAAATGAAATAATGCATGTCAGTGGCTTAACACAAAGTAATCATTAATAGTGGTGTTTAGTGTATGTTTATTATTATGTCCTGTTCTCCTTCTGTTGATCTTCATTACCTGCCCAAACCCTTGCAGTTCTCTATTATCTGACTCCATTCCACTTTAGAGGTCCAAATGTCTTCAAAAGCCTGGCAGGTAAAAAGCAAGCTAAGCAAGACTGTGGCAAACTGGGGCCACATGTTCCATATAAAAAAGAGGCACCTGCTACTCACTTTAAGCCCAGTGTGGTTACCTTTGAAGAGGTGTCAGAAACCTGGACTTTATGTGGAACTTCCCGCTTTTTAAATGTGTATAACTAAATAAGAATTCTTAACCAACATGCTAAGACTAAAAAAAGCCCATTTGCAGACTGGATATGGTTGCCCTCTTGCAGCCTCTGCTTTATGCCTTTCTGCAGCCTTGATGACTGCTTACTTTTCCTTGCATAGACTTTATTCCTTGTGCTTTCAGACATACTAGTAACTGTTTGAATTGGCTTTGGTTCTTTCTCTCTTTTAACGGTATTGTTCTTTTAGACTTGACTTGACCTGACTCTTTTCTCTGAATTCATCATTTCCTCCTCTGTGGTGCCAGTGCACTTTGCAGATCTTTCTATTCTAGTACTTAAGACATTCATTTACTTGTTTATTCAGTAAATAATTATTAAGCAGCAGAATGCATAGTAGCTATAACCGTAAGCCTGCCTTCCTGGTGCTATGTTACAGAGTTAATGTTCATGAGTCACCCCTCCCATAAGAAAGTGAGCTCCTTTAGGGTGGGAACCATGTGCTCTTTGTCTGGTTTCTTCAGCAATTGGCTCTGTGAGCCTGACACCCAGTGTATTAGTTTTCTATTTTTGCTGTAACAAATTACCATGAACTGAGTGTCTTAAAGCAACAAGTACTTATTATTTTATAGTTATAGAGGTCAGACCCTGAAATGGGTCTCACAGGGCTAAAATCAAGCAGGGCTGTGTTCGTTGTGTAGGCTCTGGGGAGAATCTGTTTCCTTGTCTTTTCCAGCTTCTTGAGGCTGCCTGCATTCCTTGGCTTCTGGCCCCTTCCTCCAACCTCAAAGCAAGAATGTAGCATCTTGAAATCTCTCTCTGACTAGGACCTCCTAATTTGCCTCCCTCTTCCAATTATAAGGAATCTTATGATTACATTGGGCCCACCTGGATAATACAGGATACTTCATCTCAAGGTCAGTTGATTAGCAACTTTAATCAATTTGCAACCTTAATTCCCCTTGCCATGTAACATAACATATTCACAGGTTCTGGGGATTAGGACATGGACATCTCTGAGAGCCATTTCTCTGCCTGCCACACCTGGGAAGCAGAATAAGTGAATGAACCATGAAAGCCTATAAACTCTCAGAGCATGGGAACCAGTATTGTGCTAGGCACAAAAAGGCAGAAAGAGGAGTTTCTGCCTTTTTGACCTCAAGGAGTTGATGATCAGTGGAATTGCAGGGGAGTGACTGAGAGCCCTTCAGTTCTGTCTTCTCTTCTCAGATTAAACGTCTCTGACTTTTGCAAGTTTTCCCTGTCCCAGGTTTATGTCAGACCCCTTGTTTTGTGTTCCCAAATCTCCCTCTTGAGGAATACAACACATTTGTGATGCTAGTTCAATAAATGCCCTTCTACAATATTTTACAGGTAAGGAGGGTAATTAAACATATCTGTCTTATTTCTCATTGTGTAGTATTGAGCAGAGTGTCTGGCATATGGTAAGTGTTCAAAATTTTGTTGAAAAAATGAGTAAATAAACAAATGAAGAATTAGAGAAAAATGAAGTTTTTAAATCACCTACTACTTAATCCATATTGGGGCTTTGTAACCGGGACCTTGGGCTGTCTGATGTGGCATGCAAAATTGGAAGGATGAGCAAATGTACATTTCCCCTGCACTGTGGAGCAAAGAGTATTTATCAGATTCTCGAAGGAGTCTATATTAGTCTGTTCTCATGCTGCTAATTAAGACATACCAGAGACGGGGTAATTTATAAAAGAAAGAGATTTAATTGACTCACAGTTCAGCATGACTGGAAGGCCTCAGGAAGCTTACAGTCATGGCAGAGGGGGAAGCAAGCGTGTCCTTCTTCACATGGCAGCAGGAAGGCAAAGAATGAGAGACGTGCAGAGCAAAGTGGGGAAAAGCCCCTCACAAAACCATCAGATCTCATGAGACCTCATTCACTTTCATGAGAACAGCACGGGGGAACCACCCCCATGATTCAGTTACCTCCCACGAGGTCCCTCCCTCAGCACGTGGGGATTACAATTCAAGATGATATTTGGGTGGGGACACAGAGCCAGACCATATCAGAGTCCATAGCCAAAAAGAGATTAGGAAGTACTGCTTTAAGTGAGCAGAGTTGAAATGAGGTCATTTGGCCATAGTACAGAGTAGGAGGATACCATATTGTCCCACGAAAGACTGACTTCTTTCTGAAGCTAACTGGGCTTTTGTATCTTTTTCCCTCGACTCTAGGAGAGGAGAGCGTGCTGCCTCTCCTGACACAGGACTCTAATTCCAAGGCTCGGAGGGGCATTTTAAGAAGAGCTGTCTTTTCTGAGGACCAGAGAAAGGCTCTGGAGAAAATGTTTCAGAAACAGAAATATATCAGCAAAACAGACCGAAAGAAACTTGCCATCAACTTGGGACTAAAGGAATCACAGGTATTAATGAGCAGGAAGATGTCTACTGCCTCTGATTTCTTGTGAGATCAGATGAAATCAGTTGTGTTCAGGGTGGTGGGCCATAGGAAACTGCTTCTGATTTCTTAAGGCACACAATGGAATCCATTTATTTGGCAAATATTTCTTATACCAGGCATGGTGCTAGAGCCTGAGGTGTTCTTGAAATGCTTTTCATATTTTTTAGTGGGTGGAGATATATGTCCCATTTCCTATTTGGAAACAGATCCATTTGCTGAGAGGTCTAGGTTTTTGCCATTGGGCTGCTTAGTTCTTTTCAAATGAAGAGAAATGCTAAGGATGTGGTAATTAAGTTACAAATAGTTTGCTCTGTGTTCAGAGAAACAGGTTAAATAATTCTTCAAAAAGCAGGAACCACTTTTCCTATCTTTCTTTTCATTTCCAATCCAAAATCAAAGCATGAATGAGTGACTCATGAATACTTCTTAATGGGTTTCATGATTTTGTTCTTTAGGTTTATGTCAAGTTCAATTAAGCAGTTTCACATTTGCAACACTTACATAGCTTTCTTCTTCATTGAGGTTTTGTATAATTGTGAATGGGACTTTCTGGCTTTTGGAGTTGTATAATACTCCATTTAACGTTTGACCTACTTGTTGCAAATAATCAATATCATAAGGCACTGAAAGTTTCCTATTTAACCCTCCTTATAATTGTCATGTGAAATACACACTATAATAATCCCTGTTTTCTAAATGAAAAAATAAGAAACTGAATGTAGGTTCTATATCATGTAGTAAAGAGGTTTCGGAGGTAGGCTCCCACCTTAGACAACCTGACTCTGGGGTTTGTGTTCTCTTTAACCTAAAAATACCACGTACAGTTGTGCATAGAGTTCACTGTACAAAGGCGTCTGGCCAAAAGGAATGGTGGCAGCTGAAATGCAGCACGAACACTGTTTGCCAGGTTGAGTTTTCTGGTGCAGGCCTACATCTGCCTGGAATTTTTGAATTAACATAAAGGGACTAAAGAGTTAGAGGAGGCTCTGGGCTAACCACCATACTCTACTGTTGTTCCTCACTACCGATGACTTGGTGGTTAATTTTGGATCTTATTAAAACCAGTTATTGGCTGGATGCGGTGGCTCACGCCTGTAATCCTAGCACTTTGGGAGGCTGAGGCGGGTGGATCATGAGGTCAGGAGATCGAGACCATCCTGGCTAACATGGTGAAACCCTGACTCTACTAAAAATACAAAGAAAATTAGCCGGGTGAGGTGATGGGCTCCTGTAGTCCCAGCTACTTGGGAGGCTGAGCAGGAGAATGATGTGAACTCAGGTTGCAGAGTTTGCAGTGAATCGAGTTCACGCCACTGCGCTCCAGCCTGGGTGACAGTGTGAGACTCCATCTCAAAAAAAACAAAAAAAACAAAAAAATAAACACAGTTATTATTGGACTAAACTCTCCTTGACCCTAGGGAAGTGTCTTCACAAGCTGCTTGCCCCAACTTTGTCAAGTAGTAGGAAGCTGCACAAGGTGTAGTAGAGGGTAATTGGCCTATATTAGTCAGTCTGTGCTCTCCTAGCTGTGTGGTACTAATGAGTCCATAACCTTAATTGGTTGTTCTGTGCCTCAGTTTCTCACTTAAAAAAACAGAAACAAATATAAGAATTCTGTCTATGTCACAAAGCAGTTTTGTGTATGTAACAGATAAATCAGCAGCCAGATCTTGATGGTCTGTTGTGTGCAAGACACTATGCTAGGTAGGCAATAACAGGGAATATTGATAAATACTGAATAAGACACAGTCTGTGCACCTCAGAAGCTTCCACACCCCATGGAAACTCATCAAAAGTTTGATAAAACTATATAATAATAGAGACAGTATCATGTGGTAGGTTAGATATACTGCCCAATAAGGGGATCAGTTCTCAAAGTTACTTATCTCTCTGAAGCCTTATGTTGATCACCATCTCTGCAAAGGACAGCCGTGTGATGGGTCCATATACGACTTCTGGAAAGTCTAGTGATGGAACTCTCTGATCTCAGAGGAGCTGTTGGGCCTGAGAGAGGATATCAGGGGAGCTCAGTGGGCCTGGCCTGCATCTCACTGGTGTAAGAAGCTCCTATTATCAGAGGGGAGACAACAGGCAGGTTTGGGAGCTTGGAGAGCCTCTGGTTGAGTTGAAACTTGAAGTAGGTGTTAAAAGATGGAAAGCAGTGGAAAGTAGCTAAGTTCCATCTGACAGTGCTCTGAGAAATTGTGAAAATCTCTGATAGTACATATTGTGGTCCCAAAAAGAGACTTCTGAAAAGAGAATGCAACAGACATATATAAAAATTATGGGGTATGACCACAATCTCTCCTCCTGCCTCAAAAACAACTACTTTCCTATTTGTATGCTATCTTGTTCTTATCCATAGGCATATGGTTTTACATAGTTAATTATATTGTGTTTAAAATTTGGTGCCTCAGGAGTGAGTACTTTCTGTCTTATTGAATCACAGAAGTAATTTAACATTTTCTTATTTGTAAATCTATCCATTACACAAATGTATCAATTATACAATTGTAGTATATCGATTATAACATTACAATTTGTAAATATACCAGTCTTATTTGTAAATATATCAGTATATCAATTACAGCATCTCAGAAGTAATTTAACATTTTCTTATTTGTAAATCTATCCATTACACAAATGTATCAATTATACTCCATTTAACGTTTGACCTACTTGTTGCAAATAATCAATATCATAAGGCACTGAAAGTTTCCTATTTAACCTTCCTTATAATTGTCATGTGAAATACACACTATAATAATCCCTGTTTTCTAAATGAAAAAATAAGAAACTGAATGTAGGTTCTATATCATGTAGTAAAGAGGTTTCGGAGGTAGGCTCCCACCTTAGACAACCTGACTCTGGGGTTTGTGTTCTCTTTAACCTAAAAATACCACGTACAGTTGTGCATAGAGTTCACTGTACAAAGGCGTCTGGCCAAAAGGAATGGTGGCAGCTGAAATGCAGCACGAACACTGTTTGCCAGGTTGAGTTTTCTGGTGCAGGCCTACATCTGCCTGGAATTTTTGAATTAACATAAAGGGACTAAAGAGTTAGAGGAGGCTCTGGGCTAACCACCATACTCTACTGTTGTTCCTCACTACCGATGACTTGGTGGTTAATTTTGGATCTTATTAAAACCAGTTATTGGCTGGATGCGGTGGCTCACGCCTGTAATCCTAGCACTTTGGGAGGCTGAGGCGGGTGGATCATGAGGTCAGGAGATCGAGACCATCCTGGCTAACACGGTGAAACCCTGACTCTACTAAAAATACAAAGAAAATTAGCCGGGTGAGGTGATGGGCTCCTGTAGTCCCAGCTACTTGGGAGGCTGAGCAGGAGAATGATGTGAACTCAGGTTGCAGAGTTTGCAGTGAATCGAGTTCACGCCACTGCGCTCCAGCCTGGGTGACAGTGTGAGACTCCATCTCAAAAAAACAAAAAAAACAAAAAAATAAACACAGTTATTATTGGACTAAACTCTCCTTGACCCTAGGGAAGTGTCTTCACAAGCTGCTTGCCCCAACTTTGTCAAGTAGTAGGAAGCTGCACAAGGTGTAGTAGAGGGTAATTGGCCTATATTAGTCAGTCTGTGCTCTCCTAGCTGTGTGGTACTAATGAGTCCATAACCTTAATTGGTTGTTTTGTGCCTCAGTTTCTCACTTAAAAAAACAGAAACAAATATAAGAATTCTGTCTATGTCACAAAGCAGTTTTGTGTATGTAACAGATAAATCAGCAGCCAGATCTTGATGGTCTGTTGTGTGCAAGACACTGTGCTAGGTAGGCAATAACAGGGAATATTGATAAATACTGAATAAGACACAGTCTGTGCACCTCAGAAGCTTCCACACCCCATGGAAACTCATAAAAAGTTTGATAAAACTATATAATAATAGAGACAGTATCATGTGGTAGGTTAGATATACTGCCCAATAAGGGGATCAGTTCTCAAAGTTACTTATCTCTCTGAAGCCTTATGTTGATCACCATCTCTGCAAAGGACAGCCGTGTGATGGGTCCATATACGACTTCTGGAAAGTCTAGTGATGGAACTCTCTGATCTCAGAGGAGCTGTTGGGCCTGAGAGAGGATATCAGGGGAGCTCAGTGGGCCTGGCCTGCATCTCACTGGTGTAAGAAGCTCCTATTATCAGAGGGGAGACAACAGGCAGGTTTGGGAGCTTGGAGAGCCTCTGGTTGAGTTGAAACTTGAAGTAGGTGTTAAAAGATGGAAAGCAGTGGAAAGTAGCTAAGTTCCATCTGACAGTGCTCTGAGAAATTGTGAAAATCTCTGATAGTACATATTGTGGTCCCAAAAAGAGACTTCTGAAAAGAGAATGCAACAGACATATATAAAAATTATGGGGTATGACCACAATCTCTCCTCCTGCCTCAAAAACAACTACTTTCCTATTTGTATGCTATCTTGTTCTTATCCATAGGCATATGGTTTTACATAGTTAATTATATTGTGTTTAAAATTTGGTGCCTCAGGAGTGAGTACTTTCTGTCTTATTGAATCACAGAAGTAATTTAACATTTTCTTATTTGTAAATCTATCCATTACACAAATGTATCAATTATACAATTGTAGTATATCGATTATAACATTACAATTTGTAAATATATCAGTCTTATTTGTAAATATATCAGTATATCAGTTACAGCATCTCAGAATTTAACATTTTCTTGTTTGTAAATATATCCATTACACAAATGTATGAATTACACAATTATATCAATGATAACAATACAATTACAATTTATAAATATACCAGTCTTATTTGTAAATATATCAGTATATCAATTACAGCATCTCAGAAGTAATTTAACATTTTCTTATTTGTAAATACATCAATTACAATATATCAATTACATGGTATTTATTGTGGTAAATTCAATTAAAAAGGAAACCTGTAAAGATAAAAGTGAAAACTCATCTTACTCTCCTCGAATCCAATTCCTTGGTTACTTCTGTCATTCACAAATGGCACTTGTTTGAATTTTTGACACATCATGTATTATTTAAAAAATAAATTTATATGTGTATTATATATGCACGAACATATAGTAACACAAACACTTGCATGCTTACCATGTGCCCTTACATTTTGTGTCAATTAATTCATACAAAAATTTTATGAAGTAACTACTTTTACTACCTCTATTTTACAAGTGAAGAGGCTGATAATTGTGTTTGTGTATATATATACATATATATACATATACATACTTACATAAAAATTTAATCATATTGTGCATGTATTTTGACATTTTCTAAAGAACAGTACAAATCACCTGTATATCCAGCTCACAGATCTAGCAGTAGAGGCCAGAAGATCCTCCAAGTATCCCCTCCCACTCACTATCTGCTCCTTCCAAGGGTATCCTCTATCCTAACTTGTAACTTCTTAGTTTTGCCTCTTTTTGTACTTTTATATAAGTAGTAGTATTCAGTGTGTAGACAGAATGTGGTATATCCATATAGTAGAATATTATTTACCCATAAAAAAGAATGAATTACTTACTGATAATACTACAACATGGATGAACCTTGAAAATATTATACTGAGTGAAATAACACACTTACAAGGACCACATATTATATGATTCCATTAATTTGAAGGTCCAGAATGGGGAAATCTATACAGACACGAAGTAAATGAATCTACTTAGGGCTGGGGAAATAGGGAATAGAACAGAGATAGCCAAAGGGTGTGGGATTTCCTTTTGAGGTGATGAAAGTGTTCTAAAATTGGTGATGGTTGTGTTATCTGTGAATACATGAAAACCTTTGAACTGTACCTTTTAAATGGGCGAATTGTATTGTATGTGAATTATAGGCTCATAGAGCTATTAACAAATTTTAAAAAATAGTATCATTCAGTATTATTTATATAAATAGAATTATATATGCTTCTTTTACTTAACAGTATGTTTGTGAGAATCTTCATGTTGTGTGTAGTAAAAGCTCATGTGTATTCATTGCTGTGTAGTACTACCATTATGTAGTATACCACAGTTCATCCATTTACTGATGGTGGGCATGTGTATTGTTCCCAGTTTTGGGCTATTATGAATAATGCTACTGATAATGTGTATTGTTTGATGCTTTTTTCCTTTTTGAATATTATGGATTGCTTCCTTCCATGTCAGTACATACGGATCTACTTCATTCTTTTTTTGTGTTTCGTAACAGACCATCATTTCACCATCCTCAATTTTAAGTTACTTCCAATTTTCACTATCACAAATTTTTATGCACTTCAAAAATATTTTGTAAGAAGAGAGTGTGAGTGAGATTTATGTGTAAAAGTGTACGTACATTTAAAATGTGGCAGATTAAAAATTCCTTTCCAAATACAACATTGTATCAAATTAGATACTGACATATGAAAATTTCATTCTTACTAACAAATAGTTCCATTTTGCAAAACCTCTACCATTTATGATTTGAAAAATGTTGCCACTCTCATGGGCAATGCTATTTGTTATTTTTCAATTTGAATTTTCCTAACTACCAGAACGTGAGGGGCTTTCAATTGTTTTATTGGCCACTTGTAGTGTGTGAATTGGCCTTTTCATGGCTGCATCTTTTTTTTTTAATCATATTGTGTTTTTATTGATATGTAGCAATACTTTGGCTGTTAGTCAAGAATTATGGAATATTATGGTTAGGAAATTTTTCCTGTTTCAGATGTTGCAAAAGTCCTTTCTAAGTTTGTGACTTTTTTTATTGAGGTAAAGTATGCATAGCAGAATTTATTATTTTAACCTTTTTTAAGTGTTCAGTTCAGTGACATTAAGTACATTGACATTGTTGTGAAACCATCACCACCATTCATCTCCAGAAACTTTTTCATCTTGTAAAACTGAAACTCTGTATCTATTAAACAATAATTCACCATTTCCCCCTCTCCCACCTCCTGGCACCCACTATTCTACTTTATGTTTCTATTAATGACTATTCTAAGGCTCTCATATGAGTGGAATAATATGGCGTTTGTACTATTATGCCTGGCCTATTTTATTTAGCATAATATCTTCGAGGTTCATTTCTGTTGTAGCATGTGCCAGAATTTCCTTCCTGTTCAAGGCTGAATAGTATTCCTTTATATGTATATACCACATTTTATTTATCCATTTATCTGTTCCTAGGTGCTTGGTTGCTTCCCATTTTTGGCTATTGTGAATAATGCTGCTGTGAACATGGATGTACAAATATCATTTAGATTTCTTGCTTTTAGTTTTGTTGGGTAGTTTCTGGCTTGTTCATATGTTTGTACAGAAATTTCTCATTTTTATGTATTCGGCTCCTTTTTATCTTTTCCATGTATCCTCTGTTTTATGTCATGCTTATGAAAACATTCGTCTCCCCAAGACTATCACGATAATCTCTATTTTCTTTTAAAACTTTTGCAGTTTTATTTTTATATTTAGCTATTTAATCTATCTGGAATTTGTTTTTGCATTTCTTGAGAGGTAGAACTTTCAATGTTACTCCCCATATATGCATTTGTCTCAACACGATTGATTGTGAGGAAACTCCTTTTATGCTTTTTTTTCTTTGAGATATCACTTAACAACAAATATTTATAGATATACAGAAAAGCTAAGAGAAGAGGAAATAACGAATGTGATGATAAAGGAAAGAATCACCATTGAAAACAAAAAACTGTCTCAGTGAAAACCCATTAGAAATACTTGGCATGCTTTCTAGGAATGAATGCCCACTGCAAACAATAAATGAGCTTATGAGTAGAACCAAGTGCTGTGGTATGTACACATTAGTTCTGTTTTCATATGAAAAGCCTTAATCATGGTGTTGTAACTGAGATGACAGTCTTTTGCACTGAATTGCCTGGGGTAGATTTCTTTGGTTGCCATTTTGAACACTGCCAATCAAGTTGAAAGAAAGAAAAAATTGTTTTTCCAATCTGGAATGAGAGCCTCAGATAGAATTTTTTTCTTCACTGAGAGAAATACTTGGTTGATATAATAATTATTTCTTCAGGTAAAAATTTTCTAGTTTTTGTTTCAAAAATAGAAATCAGCTAAATTGTTAGTGTAAGGATGTGACGCAATACACAGGAAAGAATGTGATTGACTTTTAAGCTTCCAGGAAACCAGTTGTGAAGTTGTCAGGTCAGGCACAGTTGACTACACAGTGTATAAAGAGGGAGGTTAGTAATAAAGACTCAAGTGGCATGGGTTGGGGGTAGGTATGGTTCAAATTAGGAACCACCATCATAAGCACTTTTGGCTTAATTACAATTAGTTGTTATTTATTGAGCCCAATTCTTACAGTTTGATAAATCCTGGGAATAATCAAGACTTGGAAACTGTATAAAGCCTGCAATTTATCAAAGCATTACAGAATGCATTCTTAATTTAGTCTCAGAAAGCTCCTGATGAGGTCTGAATGTTTATAAGAGCCTGGGCCCTGGAGTCAGACAGTCATGAATTCTAGTCTCAGTGCTTCCATTTCACTAGCTGTGTGACCATGAGCTAGTTAGTATCTCCAAACTTCAGTTTTTTTAACATGTGAAATGAGGACTTCTTACAGCCATTCTGAGGATCAAATTATAAAATCCATCTCGAGTGCACAGCCTGATGCCTGGCACTAAATAAACACTCAGATGCTAATACTAGCCCATCCATTTTCTTTGAATAAATAATTCAGCACAGACTAGATGATATTTTAAAATATCTAGGAGTTAAATGAATTTTGAAAGCTATCAGACTTACAGGGTGTAACCAATTTATCACAGTTGTTTTGTTTCAAATGTGTGTATGGGGATATTAGATTAAGATATTTTTGGCAGGGTGTGGTGGCTCATGCCTGTAATCCCACCACTTTTGGAGGCCAAGGCGGACAGATTCTTTGAGCTCAGGAGTTCAAGACCAGCCTGGGCAACATGATGAAACACTGTCTCTACAAAAAAAATATAAAAATTAGCCTGTTGTGGTGGTGCGTGCCTGTCATCCTAGCTACTCAGGAAGCTGAGGTGGGAGGATTGCTTGAGCCTGGGCGGTGGAGGTTGCAGTGAGCTGAGATTGCACCAGGGTGACAAAGAGAGACCCCATCTCAAAAAAAAAAAAAAAAAAGATATTTTGAAGGAGTTCATGTGAAAAGCCACAAGGACTTTTTGAGCTCTCATAAGGTATTCTGTAGAAGGGATAGTAGAAGCAATTACAGTTTAAAATGCTGAAGTAAAATAACCTGGAATAAGTGATCATTTTGTGCAATTATTTTGTCAATAGGTGAAAATTTGGTTTCAGAACAGAAGGATGAAATGGAGGAATTCCAAAGAAAAGGAAGTGCTTTCCAACAGGTGTATCCAAGAAGTAGGTATTCAAGAGGATCCCCTCTCACGGTCTGCTCTGGGTTTCCCTTCTTCATGTCCTTCAATATGGGATGTCCCCCAACAGCACTCAAGTCCAAGATGGAGGAAGAATTCTCCAGAACCTTCAGAAAGACTAATCCAGGAGAGTTCAGGGGCACCACCCCCAGAAGCAAATTCACTGCAAGGTGCCTTGTATTTATGTTCTGAAGAAGAAGCTGGAAGCAAGGGTGTACTTACTGGGGCCGTCTGAATGGAAGCATTCTTCCACGTCAATTTAAAAGAACGCTTAGTAGTAACATTTGGGCTCTAATGCCAGCTCGCCTGTACCTCATCAGTGCTTACAGCCTAACAACTTTGGAGCGATATATGAACTAATGCTTTAGGAAACTCACTCCAGTGTTCTCTTGTTTGGCCCTAGACTCAGGCTTAATTTGTAAGTGGAGTAGAATCTCCCAAGAAGTATGATGGAACTGAAAAGAATGACAGCAACAGCTGGCTCGGTCCCTGCTCTTAGTATGTGTATATGTGTGTGTGTCTCTATGTGTGTAGATACATAAATATCCATTAAAATGTGTTAGTAGAAACTAGTTTCTCTTTAACTATTGCATTGAGTAAATTCATTTCCTTTTATGTGAAGAAAAATACCATTGACAGAATGTTATTAATTTTTTGAAAATAATGTAAAATTTGGACTTTGGTGCAAACTTTCATACTCCAAAAACATGTTTTAAAAAATTCTCTATTTTCCAACTTCTTTTGGTATCCAGCTGTAAGTGAATTTTAACACCTTGACTCAGCAGTCCTCATCAAATGAGCCGCTGCTAGATACATACACTGAAAATATATATTTAAAATGAACCCGACAAGCAAATTAGAAGAATTTCTATATATAACTATTAGTATCCTTAATCTCCAAGTCTCTGGACCATCGGGCCATCGGGAGGCCCATTTAACTAATAAGTATTTTTTAATCTTTTCTCTGTAAATATGGGCCTAGACCAGGGTTTGCAAAATAAAATGCCTTTAAGACCCTGTCAGGTAAATAAAAGCTATGGCTCACCCAGAGATATTTGAGTCAAGTAATTTTTCAAATACCGTATTGGCCAAACAGAATATCTATGCCAAGAAGTATGTAATCTCTGGCCAAGACTAAAGAAAGCCGTGGTGTCACAGTTCTTAAAATTTTTCTAACTGGACTTAAAACCACAATAACTAACAGAATCAACGATGATTTCTGTTTGCGCTTCTAGTTAGAGACTCAATCTTCCACTTAGGTGACATATACTTTACATATTAGGTTATTTTTATGTATTAACAAACACTACACAGATGTTTTGTGTTTTTTGACTACCCTGAAATCGTATCTTTCTAAAATTGCATTTCTGGTAATGATCTACTTAGTTAATCCAGAAGTTTTTACTCCAGGACCAAGAAGAAATTATGTTTCACTTTGAAGGAAATGAAACAAAAATAGGAAATGATGTGGTTTTGCCTTGAACTCTTATCAATCTGTGGACAAGAAACACTCTGAGAAGTTCATTAAGTGGCATTTTGTTAGTGAGTAAGCTGCATAATGATGGTGGCTTCTAATTTGCTGAACTCCGCTAGTCTGAGAAGTTAACGTCTTTTGAGGGTTTAGTGTTTAGAAAAGATATTTCAGAAGATAATGGTTTTAATCAACAGCAGGAAATTATTTTATATGAATAGAATTGGACTTGGTATGTCAACCCGTGTCTTTACCACATGATCTTTTACTTAAAAGTCATTTTAGAAGCGTGTCTCAGTGCCTCATTGTGGGGAATGGGAGCACGGATCTGCTGACAAAAATTTGAAATTTAAAACCAGTCTTAAAATGATTTATAGTATGGCTTCTATTCTTATAATGTTAACCTCATTTACATTTATAGGGTACTTCCTATGTGCTAGAGACTGTGCTAAGCATTTAGGGTGGATTAGCTCATCTAATCCTCATGGCAATAACCCTGTGATGTAGACGGTAATTACTATCAGGATTCCTGTTACCCAGACAAGGACACGAAGGCAGAGTATGGTTGGGGTAATTATCCAGCGTCATTAAGTTAATAAATGGGATTTGAACCCTGACACTCAAGTTTTGAATCTTGGAATCTTACCAACCATGTGGAGATTGCATACCAGTGTTATGTATTCACACAGCTATGGGATGCATTGTAAGAGATACATTTTGGGGATTGCAGTGAGATTTATTAAAGAAATTCAGAAGCTTTACCATCTTACTTGGGTAATGATTTTATCTTCAGTATTGTCTTTTCTATTAGATTTTGAACTTTAAGGAAATTAAGGAATTGCAAAATCCTTCAACTATGTAGCCTCTATAGAAAATAGTCCCATAGGAGTGTTTAAGCATAAGCACTGTTATCATATATATATATATGAGATATATATATAAAAAATATATATATCACTCACTGCTAAAATCATAAAATGCTTATCTGTGGTCAGTGTTTCTTGAGAATAACTTGAAAGTCAAATAAGAGAAACCTCTGTCATGGCTATCTGATAACACAGGTAGGGCTAATTGGTTCTTAAATAATCTTCCCTCAGGGCCTAACCCAGCAGAGGCATCTAAGACCCAGCAGAGGCATCTCACTGTAAAATTAGCTTGATATTCAAATAGATAAATCAAGCTTTTAATTGTTTTCCACTTTGGAATGTGTTAACACTTAGGAAAAGTATGCTTTAGATGGATATATTACCGGTACTTAGGAAACACACACACAGTACACATACATATGCCCGGTGTGCTTTCACTTTGCCTTTACTTGCCTGAATGGCTGGAGAGAGTGGCTGAGCCCCCTATCGTGTTGAAGGGTCTCCCTTCTCTCTTGTGCTTTGCTACCATCCTTCCTCCCCTCATGTAAATATATAATTTTCTCTGCCATCTAGATGCAGACTCCGTTTCTTCAGTTGATGACATATTAGTAGATTTGTTGTCTGCTTTCCAGACAAATAGTGCTCTAGTGAGAGCCAGGGCCATAGAAGCCTGGAGGCTGAAGCATTTTAATTTAAAGAAACATTATCAAAAAGATCTTAAGCAGATGAGAAAAAATGGTGAGCATTATCCCCTAAGCTTTCAGAAAGATAAATACTTAGTGTTGGAAATATATAAACAGGTTAGGGATGATCACTGGCTTTTGAGACAATGAAAACCATGATCATTAATGTTTAAAGGGCAGTTCTATTTTCTTAGTAATATGGTGGTTTGAATGGGGAACCCAATTATTCAGTCCAGTGGTTCTCAAACATTAAAAGTACATGTCCATGAACATGCTACACCTTCCAACCAGTTTTGGATATGTGCTCAGATTTGGGCATACACTTCATACCTACTGCTTCAAAATCCCTGCCACCCACCCCACCTCTCAAGAATCATTAATACACACTCTTGTTCACTTTTCAAATACAAGTCACAATTAAATATGCTTGTCCAAGCCACAGATGTTCTTTCTGGCCCCCTTCACTCCACTTTCTGATGCATTCCCTTAAAAACTACATACCCCCCAGTGTGCTCCATGACCCCTCCCTTGATGACTAATGGTTCCATGAAGCCTATTCTACTGTGTACATAAGCTTGTTAGACACTGCATTTTGGCTATCTGAAATTCCTCAAAATATTTTTTTCTCTCTAAATTTAAGCACTTACCGGGTACATGTATGAAGCCTTATCCTAGCTCTATGTAAACAAGTATGATGAAGAGCATGGTTCTTGACCTCAAGGAGCTTCTAATCTAGTCTTCTTGCCAAGAAGAAATTCTGTGACATTTTCCATTCCGCTGGTGATGGGATCCAGTGAATTTGGGGCAAAAAATAAGCTTCTGACATCCTCCAACACATCATCTTCCATTTGCAATGCAAGGTTCTTCCATGATCCACCATACAGAAAAATGCAAGCTGCTTGACCCTGCTGCTTTTCTGTGCTGTCCCTCCTCCATTCAGGCCACAGTGGACCCAAGAGGAGCCAGAAAGAGTCCAGGGAAGAATTCAGTAGCTTCTTTTTGTTCAAGGTGTACCCTATTTCTATTTTTCTTTCTACCTTCTCAGCCTCAGGTCAGCCTATACCTATGGTAAGTAGGACGAGAGAAGAAAAAGCAAATAGTGCAAGTTGGGGAAGTCAGGATGAATGTTCTTGAATACATATGGAAAATTTTGCAGAATTAATTACAAACAATTTCTGAAATAAGCAACTACCCTAAAGACATAGCAATAGCCTAACAAAGATGGCCTTTAGCTTCCAGCTACTACTTCAGTTCTGTTACATTATTATTTCTGGTTATAAAGAAGCACACTTGAAAATATAGCTAACAAAGTAAAGTTCATATATAATTCCACCTGGTGATAGCCAACTTAGCTCTTTCGTGAAACATTTTCAGTCATTTTTTGAATGTATTTTTATGTAACTATATGTGTCTAAACAAATTTGGACCATAGCATATATCCAGTTGATTCTACTATTTTTTTACTCAATTTTGTACACAGAACATTGCCCCATGTCATTAAAAATTACTTGAAACTGTTTATGACAGCTGTGTAATATCTCCTTGTAGCTCTTTCACTTCTTAAGGTGGACCAGGGTATGGGGCTAGGAGATGACAGGTGATAGAAAGAATGATCATGGGCTTTTGTACCATAGAATACACTTAAGAAAAGTAATCTGATGTTTATCATTTATTTGAGCTAAATGAAACTTCAACAAACATAAGACTTAGAATGAAAACTGAATAAATATACTTTTAGTGGTGTTAAATATAGTGTATCAAATACACCAAAGGGAGAGCCTCTTCCAAAAAGCCACCATAAAGCTTATCAAAACATATCCCATGCGTTCAAAATTCAAGAGAGTGTACACACTTGGATTTGAGTCCATAGCCAGCAGCAAACATAATAATATGGGATAATATTTGTCTGTTTTATTGTGCTTTGTAGTCAAACTGATACATTATTCAGCTTTTTGAGTATGTATTATTGTCTACCAAGTGGGCAGGAGTCAAGCAAACTAATGGGGATCTGGCATCTGTCACCACTCCAAAGCCTGAGGTGATAAATCTGGTTTGCCTATTTAGTCTAGAATCTCCCACTTGTTATAAATTTATGGATTTTTTCTCCAAGTTGCTTAAATAACAGAAGGGGAGAGTCTTTCAAGATCAGAACATTCCAAGGTTAAAAGGGAGCTGGGAAACTTTTAGTGTTATTTACACCTAAAGCAGAAACATCATTCCTTGATGTTAGTCAAAAGCCAAACACCAGGCATGCCAAATTTGAATAAAATACAGTGATATAATTAATACATAATATATATCTAATTCTTTCACTATGAATGCCATGCCCATCAACTACTGAATAGGCATTGTAGTTTCCTAGGTCTGTTGCAATAACTACCACAAACAACAGTAATTTATTCTCTCATAGTGGTAGAGGAAAGACACCTAAAATCAAGGTGTCAGGAGGGCCATGCTCCCTCCGATGCATCCAGAAGGCTGCTTTTTCCAGTTGTTGATAGGTCCAGCTCCAGCTCCAGGCATTCTTTGACCTGGGGTTGCATGACTGC